CATACATACATACATACATACATACATACATACATACATACATACATACATACATACATACATACATACATACATACATACATACATACATACATACATACATACATACATACATACATACATACATACATACATACATACATACATACATACATACATACATACATACATACATACATACATACATTCATACTTACTGCACGTGAAAGGTAGGTAGTTCGTCCTCTCTAGGCAGGGTCGGATTTAGACTTCATGAGGCCCTAAGCTTCTAAAGCCCTGAGGCCCATACTGTTTTAAACGTAATCTAAGAAAACTTTACAATCTATCATTATCAGCAACATCCCGTTACACTGTGTGTCATTTGGTCACCAGTTTCTGTTGACTGGTCAGCTCTCTCCACATTTGGCGGTGAGTTGCCATGGACTTTCGCTCTTTTGAGAGGCCGTTAGATCTTATCATATGTCTACACCATTGCATTTTTGCATTTTCACTGTAGTTAATAAAGGTTTTATAGTTCCCAGTGTGCTGTATAATTAAATGGCCAAAGTCTTCGCGTGTAATGTGGTCTCTGTATGATATGCCATATACAGTCTATACGCCTTCTAAATATACGGATAATGAAAATATATTGCCGTTTACTTTTTTTAAAATTATATTATACTATTATATAATTATTATATTATTAAAAATAGCCCTAACCTGAAGAAATAATGAAAATCACAACTTATATCTTAACATAGTAACAACCAAAAACACAAAGATGATGCGTACAGATAAAACTACTATGGAGAAAGAAATATATGTTAATGATGAAAGATTAGAGGTTGTGGATAATTTTGAATAACTTGGGTCATTGATTACCAAGAATGTTGACACAATGAAAGAAACTGAAGAAGAATATAAATTGCTCTTCAAAAGCTAAAACAACTGAATAAATTATGAAGTGGGACAGATAGAATTAGAAAAATTAGATTTCTAAGAGCATGTATCTTTCTAATTGCAACAAACGCCTGTGAGACCTGGACACTTACTAAACAAGCATAAATGCCTTTGAATACAAATGTTATAGACGGACTCTAAGAATAGTATGGGTAAAGAAAATAACAAATACATCCATACTTCAAGAACTGAATACTGAAGAAGGTTGGCTATTAAGGACGATAAAGCACAGAGAAAACTAAAAAAAAATTTTGTCACTTGAAACTTCATGAAAGTTTAGAGAGAACAATAATGTAGATTTATATGCGGGGAAGACAGGTAGAGGCAGGCCAAAGAGAGGATGGGTGCAGGATGTGGCGGATGTTCTACAGATGGGTGTATCGGACGCGGGACATCTTCCTTGTGATCGAGAAGTTCTCCGAAGGGTTGTTATGGAAGCAAGGATCTGCAAAGGAGATGCTACGGACCGACTGACGTTTTATTAAGAGAAAAAATAAACAATGTGTCTTCAGAATCGCATATATTATTTTATGTAATCCTCTTAAAATCTCCTTAAAGAAAATTGCATCAGTAAACAAAAATAGGAATGTTGACCCCTGTAGATTGTGCCTAAATCTTGCACTGCTTCTAGGACTGCAGACTTCAGGATGCCCTTGCGCCGGAACGGAGCAATTATGGTTGTGTAACCCGTTTGGGATGAAGTTGGAACCCCGGCAGATAGCCTGGGTCTGCAGGATCAAAACCTCAAGAATGAGAATATTACATGTACACATTATGGCAGCACCATTCAACCGCATAGCTGTTCTACTAGGGGTCACCGACGACTACGTAGTAACCTGAGATCTGGACCTCCCAATGTGGGTTCCCAGGTCCCATTATGGGGGAAAACAAGAATAGACCCACTGCCTCCTCAACAAGCAAGTCGTAGGAGTTGACTTATTGGGTACACCCTTCGAAGTCGGTGTGCATCTGCCTGAGAAGCAAGGAACCAAAGTCTACATATAAATAAGACGGATATGTAAAATGGATGTGCACGCAACACTCAAGTTCTGGGACATGACTCAAGTCAATGGGTGGACTAACAACCAGAAATTTGCGCAGAAGTTTACAGCTGATGAATGCGAAGAAGAAGAAGAAGAAGAAGTAGTAGTAGTAGTAGTAGTAGTAGTAGTAGTAGTAGTAGTAGTAGTAGTAGTAGTAGTAGTAGTAGTAGTAGTAGTAGTAGTAGTAGTAGTAGTAGTAGTAGTAGTAGTCCGGACCAGGCAGTGACGCGAGGTGGACTTGCAACGTCATCCTTATTTAAATTAAATGAAGAGTTCATATTGAAAATAAGAAATAGTACAGGGGAAGACATCTTTAGTGATCTTCACAAATGAAAAGTAGAAATAGATTGTATAGCGCCCCCTCAGTTGTCAGCCATCGCAGTAGGAAGCTTTCGTTTATGTTTGTCAATGGCCAGAAAGTTTCAGAAATTGGTTTATTATGTTCGTTGTAGCGATTTAAATTGAAAGAGGATAGAGTCCTGATTTCAAATTATTCATGGAATATAGGACAATTGTGTATAACGCAGCTAGAGACGGCAAACTTGGCCGTCTACGTGTATTTCTGGATCAGCGATCAAAAGATGAAGTCTCAATGTTGATTCATGCCAAAACGAATGGAGCTACACCTCTTATCATGGCAGGACGAAATGGCCATCTCGAAGTAGTGAAATATCTCATAGAACACTGCAGAGCTGAAATAGAGCAAGTAGGCTCTGTAACGTTTGACGGAGAGACGATCGAAGGTGCCCCTCCTCTATGGTGCGCGGCAGCTGCTGGGCACTTGAACATCGTCAAGTATCTCGTCGAACATGGTGCCAATGTAAATAAAACAACATACACCAATTCAACACCTCTTAGAGCCGCCTGCTTTGATGGACATTTAGCTATAGTGAAATATCTGGTAGAGCAGAAAGCGGACATTGAAATTGCTAACAGGCACGGCCACACCTGCCTGATGATATCCTGCTATAAAAAACACTTACCCATAGTTGAGTATTTGCTGAAACTTAAGGCTGAGGTGAATCGAAAGAGTGTCAAAGGTAAATATCCCCATGTGAAGTTCTTTGTTGTTGATGTTTGCAAGTAAAACTGACATAACACAAACTTTTAATCTTAAGTAATACATGTATAAATGTGTGACCTTGTCGTTTTATAATATTGTTTATGTGGCTATCTTCCCAATAACGGTCCCAAATTATCGAGGCTGAAAATACCCTAACAAAACATGGCCTCAGTCACATGTCAATTGTGGACTTCTGGCGACTTAAATTGCGCACTTCCGGTGACTACCGTCACCGCGGGAGGATCTCCCACACCGCTACGCGCTGCGTGGATTGGGGCTAAACTAGATGGCTGGACTCACAAGCAGCAGCTACCGCATCTTCATTTATTTTGCTCGTGAGTTCCAGCCATCTAGTTTAGCCCCAATGCACGCCACGCATAGGGGCGTGGGAGATACTTTCTGCGGGTCGGAAGTCCGCAATTGACATGTGACTGAGGCCCTGTTAGGGTATGTTTTCGGCCTCGATAATTTGGGACCATTATTCGGAAGATAGCCATTTTTGTTTGTCTGTTTCATTGCCTATAGGTTATTTATAATTAACAACTTTTCAATATACCAGGTTTGCTTCACCTGGTGATCTGGCCGCAGCCACTGTACACTGTACCTTGTTTTTTTTTTGTCAATAGTTTATTGTTCAAAACCATTCAGACTGTAAAAGAAAGCATACAATTCCTACTAAAACCACCAACAGATATGCAACTAACTATATGGTTGTCACTTCATAAAACATGAACTAGTTGCAAAATATTGTTAAACAGTGCCTCAATAGTGTGTAACATTTTTATTTATTTCTGGCGAATACACCAGTGGTGGGTGGCAAATTGCGCGACTAGTCTTGCCTCCGTAACGTTGCCTCCGTTTAAGTTGCATGCATAACCCTTCAATTGTTAGTGTCGCGGTTGGACTGTTGTGAAAGATTCTGGTGGCTGTGTTCTAATCATAAAACGCATTGCCCTAACCCTAGGACCCAGGGAAGAAATTAAACCTAGGACCCAGGGGAGAAATTAAACCTAGGACCCAGGGGAGAAATTAAACCTAGGACCCAGGGGAAAAGTTAAACCTAGGACCCAGGGGAGAAATTAAACCTAGGACCCAGGGGAAAAGTTAAACCTAGGACTCAGGTGAGAAGTTAAACCTAGGACCCAGGTGAGCAGTTAAACCTAGGGCCCGGGTGAGAAGTTAAAACTAGGGCCCAGTGTCGGAGCTGACGGTCTGTCTGCCATGGTGATAGTTCCATGATAATTTTTTTCATTTAAAAATTAATCCTACTTTTGCCGCGGTGCACGTGCCAGAAAGCAGTCCTCAATTTACTTATGACTGAAGCCCTACTAGAGTATTTTCTTAGCCTTGATTATTTAGGACCCTTATTCGGAGAAGAGCCCAAGAATGTGTCCCTTTGTCTTCTCTTAGCTCTTTTTTTTTTTTCCAGCAAATTGTTATGTTGTTACCAAGTTTTATAGTTTATTCCTTCTCATCTCTCAGTCTGTTTTCTTTCTCTGAATAATACTGTTAGGCGTCACAGACGTGGTTGTTCCATCTCATGACATGTCCAAAAGTCACTGTCTGTGTTTTAATTTCTCAAGAATAATTGCTTCATTTGTTTTTGTCAGCCAATTATATTCTTTTATTTTTCTCAGAACACTTCATTTCTGTTTTAAATAGTATTCAGCATTTCTGTTTAATATCCATGATTAACCTTCATAGAGCAACACAAATTCTGTATGAGACATTCATTAGTGACCTTCGTAACTAGGCCACAGATTCATTATCTTAAGAAGTCTTTCCAATTCTACACTAGCGATAAGGAGAAAATCTATATTGTTTAGTCATGTCATGAGAAGGAGCAAACGGGTACATCGAGGTGGTGGGAAAGTTGGAGGGGAAAAGACAGAGGTAGACCGAGAGAGAATATGCTGGACAGTTTAACATCATGTCATGTTAGATCATCTGTGTCAGATTTGATTGAAAGAAAATGAGACGGAAGGTTAGGGATAGACACGATGACTAACATCACACGCATGAACCGCAAGAAGTAGAAATGAGATGTATCTTTATGTGAGTGAATGACAAAAGACAGTGAAGTTCATACTAGAGACAACATTGCATATATAGATAATCTATTTTGGTCAAACAAAAGAAGAAGAAAAAGAGTTGTTTTTTATGTAAAATGATTACACATCAAGCATTTAACTGACTTAGATGAGCCACGATCGTTCACAAGGTGGCATATGTAGGTATATTAGAGATCCCTTAGGGTTGTCACTGAGGCTGCATGGTTTCACACTTAATGCAACACTTTCAACAGGTAAACAGCCACTCTGTGGAGATATGTCAAGCTCTATGAGATTTAGCTGTTACAACAAAGCTGTTGCTATCATCTACCTTTTTAAACTGATTGCAAAACTCAGATTTAGAAATCTTCATAGACAGATAATTTTCCTGATAGTGAATATATATTGCATAATATTTAAAGATATTTGCCATCTGTTTTAACCATGGGATATATAATTAAAAGTTAAATACAAATAGGCTAGTTGTAAATCTACTCAGTATATTTATTTTTGAAAATATTAGCACACAAATTTTCAACTGCCCGCCTATATAAACATAAATTCACACCATAAATTCACAAGTGTTCTCTAACAAAGGCACTGTAGCAGCTTACATACTGCTTTGCTCATCCAAACGGTCATAATATATTAGTTTTGTTTCTTTATTACCAGGCAACACGGCACTGCATGATTGTGCAGAATCTGGAAGCTTAGAGATCATGAAACTGCTGCTGAAACATGGAGCCAAGATGGTGAAGGATCATTACAACATGACTCCCTTGATGGCTGCTGCAGTGGCTGGCTACAATCTCATTGTGGAGTATCTCATTAGCCGTCCAGAATGCTCCCGAATAGAAAAAATTGAAGCTCTTGAACTGTTAGGTGCTACCTATATTGATCGCAAGCGAGATAACATTGCTGCTTTAGAAGTTTGGCAGAGGGCCATGAGGTTGAGATATGAAGATGGAATAAATATTTACCCAAAACCAACGAATGTAAAACCTGTAGAAGCTTATGAATATGCAGTGGAAGCCCAGTCCAGTGGGATGTTGGATGAGCTGGTATCTGATCCAGATGAAATGCGAATGCAGGCATTACTTGTTAGGGAAAGAATTCTTGGACCAGCACATCCCGACACTTCTTATTATATACGGTATCGGGGAGCTCTGTATGCAGACATGGGCAATTTTGACCGGTGTATTTCTTTGTGGATATATGCTTTAGAGATGCAACAAAGTGCATTGGAGCCCGTCAGCCCAATGACACAATCCAGCTTTTTGTCATTTGCAGAATTGTTCTCATTTATGACTTCAGAGTGGCGTGGAAGGGACTTGTTTTCTTGCCTTAAATTTGAAAATCTCATGGCTGTCTTACAGCGAGCAGTGGAAGAAGTTCAACGTGCCGTCGCCTCTAACAAGTCACTGAAAACATCTTCGGCTGATGCTGAGAACAGAACACTGTCTAACCTCAATAGATTAATGGTGATAGTTTTACATCTCCTGTGCTTAATGACACGGCTGGAACTCCTACTGTCTGTGGATGACAAATTAAATTTTCGAAAAATAGTTTACCGTCTGGTCAGAATGGCTCCCTTGGGACTGAGAAAGAGCACTTTGCTTCATTTAGCATGTACCAGAGACACAACAGAAGTCGGCCGGTATCCAATTTGCAAATTCCCCAGTCTTGATGTCATAAATCTTCTAATCGAGGTTGGTGCAGATCTGAATGCTTTGGATCAAGGTGGCAACTCTCCATTGCATATAGCTGCCAAAGATGTACCATCTGACCGACAGGTGCTCAAAGTTTTAATAGAAAGTGGTAGTCATATTGACGCCTGCAACAACAAGGGAGACACAGCTGCTTCCTTGCTGCACACGGTGCATCTTCATAACATTGTCCCACCCCTGAAGTACACCTCCCTCCAGTGTCTGGCCAGCAGGGAGATAGCCAGGAATAGAATTCCTTATAAAGGCATCGTTGGCTTGGAGCTAGAGAGGACAATTGAACTACACCAGTGTAAATTTGATGCTTTGAAAGCTAAAATGGATGAAAGTTCATGGCCTAGAGAACCGGAAAAGTGACAGCAGTTTTGTGTGTAGTACAATCTACTGGACATATGTGATTCAGCCACAGAGTGAGTGCTTGTTGGAAAATGGCTGGGTTTTTTTAATGCATACATATAAGTTGATTAGTATAAATGTAAAGGTAATGAAAACGTATGGCTAGAAATATATAGAATGCAGTTATATATAAATGTGACATTTGTTTATTTTATAACATAGACCTATGTTTTCCCACATCAGGGTTCACTTGCCTTTAAAAGTATATTTATAATTATTTTGGACTGGCTAGTGAGAACGTGGGCCAGGACAAACCAGTACTATATTCTGCTTCTCTCAGTTCATCAGGATGTAAGGGCATTAGTAAATTACTGGAACAAAAAATATGTTGGTTCTTTACTGAGGGCAACATTAGTAAGTCACTGGAACAAAAAATATGTTTGTTTTTCCTCTAATTGAGGGCAACATTAGTAAATCACTGGAACAAAAAATATGTTGGTTCTTTACTGAGGGCAACATTAGTAAATCACTAAAGTAGAACAAAATTGTATAGCATTACTAAAAGCTGAGTTATTAAATCACTAGAACCAAAAATATTTCAGTTCAGCAGCAAGTAAATGAAACATGTTGCAAGTCACAGTGAGAAGGAAGACAAAGTGTTTATCACTGGCTAAAGTTACCAAAAGACGAAGATAGACATTGCTTGGACATGTTTGCAAAATACCCCATGACACTACTGCATGAACAGCTTCCCAGTGGATGCAGATTGAAAAAAAAGGAGAACATGAAATGAAGTGTAAAATCCCATTTGGCAGACTGTCAGCGGTGGAGATTACTTGCAAATGTCTTGTGTTTCAGCAACGACATGAAAAGGATATAGTTAGATCCAGAAAAAAAAATTTGAGTAAAAAGTTGGGAAATTACTGAAACAAAACACATGTCGCTTCATCAGTAAGGAAAATTGAGTAAATCATGAAATAGTTTGTCAGTCCAAAAAAAAAGGAGTAAAGTTAACAGACATTACTTCCCCTCAGCGAACAAGGGACATGTATCTTCCTTTTAAGACTGTTATACTCCTGCAACATTTATTATATTATTTATTACAAATATATTCCAGTTCAGAGATAAACAAATAAAAGGCTGGTCAGTTGCGAGAAGAAAATTATATGCTGTCATTTAACAGAAAAGGGAGTTGGACCCTCCTTATAAAATTGTGTACATTGCCTAGTAATACAAAAAAAATTGTTATTGAAATGAAAGAGTAAGTCTGGAGTCAAACATCATATATTCTAACTCTGTTTAATTAAAAATTATGTTCAAAATAAGAGTTGCCTCTGAAGTTAGTCTCTCGGGGCAGATTTCTTCTTCTTGTGATCCCTTTCTTGATTTTCACCAACAGTATTCTTTTGATAGCATTAACTATTTTTTGTTAGCAAGTTCTTTTGTTGTTTAGAACGGTGGTAGTTGCACCTTTTGGCCCAAAACTACTGATTTCAACCACACTTAGCTATATTTTACAACATGCTTGTTAGAAACACTGCGTCTGTTCTTCCCCTCCCCCTCAAAATGGGTCACAGGAACCCACACATAACTAATGTAGTGAATTCACATATTGAAAATATAAAGATTAAGTGTTTCACAAGAGATGGCACCGTAAAATTTAACCCCATCAGTGCCAGGAAGCAGTTTCTTTGACTCTCTACACTCTGATCAGTTACTTTCCCATTGTTGGAAGGGATGGTGGGGAGAAGGAGGGTGTTGAACCACCCTAGCCTCCCACCAACCACCCTGTCAACAAGCATGTGATTAAAGGCAGCTGAGTGGTATAGAACCAACAGTCTGCATATAAATGAGCCAGATCTGTAAAACATATGTACATACAGAACTCAAGTTCTGGAACTAGACCAAGTCCAGAACTTTTCCCTGGAGTTTACAGTAATAAGCGCTAATTTGAAGAAATCAGTTACTTTAAACTTATACATATTGAGCCATAAGAGGGTGGAATAATAATCCTATTGGGCGAAAGAGGTTGTAAAGTGTAACGCTTTAATTGCCTGGAAGCTTACTTTAATTCTTTCCACTCATTTCATTGTTACTTTACACTGATACACATTGAGTCATAGGTAGGCAAACTAATTACTCTGTTGTTCAGAAACCATTAACCCTTTCACCCTGAGAACTCCTTAAAAAAAAAAGGTCATGACCCATTAAGGATTCCTTAAAAAAAAATAACAATTTTTACACAGGCCGTTATTGTAGTTATCAATATTTTAAAATTATGTTTCCAAATATATATGAAAGAAGTAATCAGTCAACATTTACAGGGTTAGTTAGTTGGGTTATCCTCATTGCACTCCGGACATGTCCATAGGTGCTCAGATCCTCCCCTCAGTATGAACCCCAACGTCCGATGGCTAATAGTACCAGTTCTATGTTTATTAACAAGTCTTCTGGCGTAGCTGGTGTGCGTCTCGTTTTTTGCTGTGCCGATCTTAATTCCCAAGTCTGCCATTCTGGCGAGTGATGTGGATTCACTGCCACCAAAGTCGTCTATCCTTCCCATTTCTCTGAGGGCATTGATAATATCAGCATGATCCATAGGCTGACCGTCGGTAGTGATAGCGGATCCAGCCAACCTGTCAGCTCTTTCATTTCCATCGACGCCTGCGTGTCCCGGAACAAAAATAAAGGTGACTCCACGGACAGTGGACTTCTGTAATGATTCAAGCCATTGTCTTCGCACTGAACCTGCCTGAACCCTCCGGATCATACTCATTGAATCACTGAGTATACACACGCGGGTGTATTTTTGTGTTTCAAGCCAGGCAAGCGCTTGTGTCACTGCCATCACCTCCATCGTCATGCTGCTGGTTGTCATGGAGAAGGCGCCGTTGGCTTCTTTGACTGTTCTGCCCGCTGAGCGTGCTGTAAATGCCCATGCACTTCTTCTTTGGCGTATAACGGATCCGTCTGTATAGATTATTGCATCTGCTTCGTCTGAATTTTCACCGATGAGAGCGTTGACCTCTGCATTAACAGCAACAGGATTCTCTTCTCTACATCGCCTGTTGAGTGTGACAATACAGGAAAATGTACAAATAAACGCCTGAGGCACAGGTATCCATTCTGCACCAGGTATGATGTCGGTTAGGCTGCATATTTGCCTAATAACATCTTCTGCCTGACCTAGCCCACGATTTCCCCCTCTTCAGTCTGTCGCCCTTTTCACTAAAAAGCGCTTGATGCAGTGGGTGTTTCTTATCAGCACATATTTTGAGATATGCCCGAGCCCTCCACATCCTGATCCTTTGGTTCATTGTTGGAAAGTCAAGTAGATACCTCATTGCTCCACAGGATGTGTCTCTAGTACATCCCAAAATAATGCGCATGGCTTCATTTTGCACCTTTTCGAGTCGTTCAATCTGGGTAGCACTGACAGTGAGGATGGCCAGAGCGTATTCAATGGGGGAAAGGACCAGACCGTAGAATAGAAGTATTAGTAGTCTTTGCTCAATGTTGGAAGCAGCCATAATCCTCATTGCAGATAGACCTTTGCGTGCTTTTGTTATCACATGGTCAACGTGTTCCCTGAATGACAAACTGCGATCGAACCTCACCCCGAGAAACGTCATAACGTTGGTTCTGATCAATACATTATCACGCATTTTCACTTCTGGTAAGTCCGACTTGACAATGTGATTGTTCAAAGAGAACCATGACACTGATGCCTTCGAAGGATTGACATAGGCATTGGAACCATCACACCAGGCGGCAATTCGATCGAGTTCTTTGTGCATAGTGCTGGCGATCTCCTGTCTATCACGCCCTCGTCGATAAATCAAAATGTCATCAGCAAATGACAAAGTCCTCCCCTTTCCATTCAACTGCTGCTCAGTGATCATCACCGTATAAACGTTGAATAAGACTGGTGATAGCGGTGATCCCTGTGGCAAGCCTGGACATATCGTTTGCGGTTCTGAGGACCAGCTACCACATCTTAGTACAATCTTTCTCTGGAACAGGACCGCAGCAATTAAGCGGATCAGAATAGGATTAACTTCTAGTTTAAGCAGTAATTGCATTAAATAATCGTATGGTACTTTATTGTAGGCATCTTCTAAGTCCAACACTGCCGCACATGTCTCTTCTTTAATCTGAAATCCCTCGTACACATCGTAGGCGAAAACTGCAGCATTGAACCATGTCTCTTTATTTAACCTGTACCCTCCAAGTGTTGGTGGGAACTTATCATGTAGTTCCAGGTAGGTGGTCAATCTTTGGGCGACAATTTTTTCCAAAAGTTATTTACAGGGTGAAGTATTTAATTGAAAACTTCACTCTGGGCCTTAACAAAAAACACACTTATCGGAGATTCATGCCGTGACCTTTACCACGAAGGCTTATGAGAACATTTGGCATCCTCTTGGCTTTAAAAAAGCCATTTAGCAGAAAGGAAAATTCACTCTAAATGCTGTTGTTAGTTAATTTATTAATATCCTGACTTCCTGAGCCTTTGCCCGGCGCGAACTCACCCAAATGCATTAACTGTGTATCTCGTAAATAAGTCAGAACAGTGACATTTTACGGGGAATTAGACCAAACCGGAAGTGTCGTTTATTCGGCTTCTCAGAGGCAAAAGAGTTAATGTAACAATTTAAGTTAGCTTCGCGTACAACTGATGGAGGTCCAATGAGTTAAACAACATAGTGAGTTACTTGGTTCCATTTGATTGCTCAGCATGGTTGATTTAAAATCTGTATTTGTGGTAATAAATATTTGTGAAGGAGCCAGTTTAACTGAAATCCCTTGTAGCAAGGGTTTGTCTTGTCATAATGTATCGGTCTGACTCTCTAGCATGGTGTGTGCCTGTTAATATAGATACCTATAAATATATATATGAGTTAATTTTGGATAACACTGAGTAGAAGATTGTATAATTTTGTTGACTTACCAGAAATAGAAAATAGTTGTGCATTTCATTCTTCAGATTGATATGAGACATTTGTTTTCTTGACAGCATT